GTAGTAGTAGTAGTAGTAGTAGTAGTAGTGGTAGTAGTAGTAGTAGCAGTAGCAGTAGTAATAGCGCTGCTCTTCTCCTCCACGGTATGGTTGCCATTGATGGGAACCCCGGATGAATATTCCCATCCTATAAACAAGGGGGTGTTCCCCACCAAAAGTGATGATTCCCTACTGCCCTCTACTTCTACACTGGGGTGGATTTCAGTCTTCGGACCCCAAAACTGTGAATGTCCCTCTGGCGTTCCTTTAAACGAACCCTGAAACATGTACTTTTTTGCTTCACACACGGCGTCACGTGCAGTTTCTTGCTGGTCATGATTGGGGGAGAACTGGAAGCCTCCTTTCCGGTGCACCAACTCAAAAAGCACTCGACTAGTGATTTGGACTCCCTAAAGCTGGTGCCCCTGCAGCTCAATTCCAGAGTGGGTTGGCCACAGCAAGAGAGGCCCCAACTTTCCATTTGCAAACTGAACGGCTCTTCCCAAACCAGCACCGCCCGAGTGGTGCCAAATTGGCGTGACTTACAGTAACACAAACAATGTCACTTTTTGGCTAAGTGATGCTTTGCTGAATTTTCGCAATTTCCCGTAAAATCGGACAGATCTACGAGGGCAGGGGCGGGGCAAAAAGGCAGTGTGACCAAAGTCAGCACGCTGTGCGCCAACACCAGCACAAAACCTGCTAATGACCCTTGCAGCAAACAGCCATGCAAATCTCCATCGCTCGTCACGAGCATGTCACTTGCAGGTCGTTTGCTCGGCCTGCGCGTCGCTTGCGCGTCGCCTCGCGTCGCTTGCGTTTTGCTCCGTGTCACTGGGGTGTCGCTTGCGTGTCGCCTGCGCGTCGCCCCGTGTCGCTTGCATGTCGCCCGGTGTCGCTTGCGTGTCGCTTGCGTGTCGCTTGCGTGTCGCCTGCGTGTCACCTGCGTGTCGCTTGCGTGTCGCCCTGTGTCACGCAGAGTAAAAGTGCTGCTTTGGGGCCCCAAGGCATGAAATTTAAGCCCCAAAGCATCACTTCGGCTGCGAAAGCGTGTCGCTTGCGTGTCGCTTGCGTGTCGCCTGCGTGTCGCCTGCGTGTCGCCTGCGTGTCGCTTGCGTGTCGCTTGCGTGTCGCTTGCGTGTCGCTTGCGTGTCGCCCCACATGTCACGTGCGTCTCGGCCAGCGTCGCGCGCGCGCACCCCCTGCGTCGTGCTCGCTTCGCCTCGTGTCGCTTGCGTGTTGCCCTGTGTTGCCTGCGTATTGCCCCGTGTCGCCCCGCGTTGTCCCATGCTGCTTTCCACTCAATATTTTCAGAAGCCTTTGCTAGTTTTTCTTTGTCCAGATTCAGGCTCACAGTGGTGCGGACAGTTCTTTTGGCCGCTGAGCTTGGAAAACGCTTAGCAGACTCACCTGCCATGAATGGACTGAGAATGGTCTCCAAACTGGTGGTTGGTAGACCTGAAGTGCTGCCGATTGCATTTTTTCACAAGTGCCTTCAAATTGGCGGCACTTTCACAAAATTGAGAACAACGGTCGTTGGGTGGTCCTGGAAAGTGGCTCTCAAGTCCATGAACAACCCGAGGAGTGAGGGGTAAAAAACCTGGCCAGGTGGCTTCCACCCCCGCGCCCCTGCCCAGCGGTTTTCGACGAGGCGCTCCCAGGGCTGCCAGAGCAGCGCGAAGCGCTGCACTGGGACCTGGTGCTTCAGGAGCTGGAGCTTCAGCCGGTGGCAGCCTGGGCACCGGATCCGCTTGTTCTTCAGTTGGGAGATGTGTTCGTTTCTGTGTTTTGTTTGTTTTTGTCTTTTGTTTTCCCCGGGGGTGGGGGGGGATTTCTGCTTTGTTTTTGGAGCCCTCTTTTGTTTGGTTTCCAGGGAAGGTAAAGGCAGGATTTTACCAGGGCTCTTCAGATGCCATGCTCGTCAAAGGGGTACCTGTTTGGGACGAGTCTGCTTCCAATGTCCTGTTTGCCACTCAGAAAGACCTCCACAAACATGAAGAGTCCCTTGACAACTTGACGAGCCGACACATTTGTCAAGCTACCTGGGAATGGAGGGGTGCACGTCAAATCCAGTGGGCGCACTCTCCACTCTTGTTTCACCAATTGCGCACGAGGATTCCTCGAGAACAACTCAAATGTCAACAACAAGGAGCTTCAACCAAGCGTAAGCTGGAAGGCAATGCCTGGAGGCCAAATGCAGGCGAGTCGCAATCATCCGACCTAATTACCGTCCACTGTTGAGTTCAAGCGCCGCATGCAAACCCCATGAAGCGAGGGCCCTTGTGCAGCACGGAGAGCATTGCTTGAAATTGCTTGGCCTCTTCCTCCTGTTGCCTTCTACCCATCCAAGTGTTCGCCCAGGCAAAGAACAAAGCGCCCTTCTGGGTGGCCCAACTGGCTGCAGGTACAAAACTGGCAAAAGGGAAAAGAATGCCGTTGAACAACCCAATCGCCATTCGAGGAAATGTACATTTCTTGGCAATGATTTTGAAAATAATTCCCGTGCCTGCCTGATGTCCTTTCTGGGCGAGACCCAGCAGAAGTCTGTGCCCGCATAGTGCCGCCTCGCCAGATTGCAGTGTGTATTTCCCCCGAAGGCTACGGCGCTTGGACAAAACATGTTTCTGCTGCAAATAAATTTAAACTATATAACTAGAAAGTCGAGATAAATTAATTATGGGAAAACGAGCCGCTATGGCAACGACAATTGCCGTACAATGAGCATCAGAGTCTGTGCTTTAGCTGGCCGGTTGTCAAAGGTCGCAGACCCAGTTTCAGACATCCATGACGAACTCAGCCCCAAGCGTACCGAAGTATACATCAGCATACCGACGAGGAATGATGGCAAAAGTATCCTCAGCTGTGCATGAGCCGTCCAGTTTGCCAGACATACAAGCCCAGCCGAGGGTGGGGAGGGATGCCACACATCCAAAGCACACAAACCAGCAGCCACGCAACCCGCAAGGAAGGCATGATACGGAGATGCTTGCAGCGGGTACAAGCTCGCCTGCCCCAAGTGCAAAAGAAAGCCAAGCTGCCCTTTAATTATCAACACACATGAAGACTGCCTTTGGTTGTGCTACTGCCCTAACCTGCAGGGTGGCTCGGCTTCACGTGCTCAAATGTCACACAGACATAATACGTGCCTTTCGCACCACACGGTACCGCATCTGCGCGACCCATGCCAACAGGAGACGAGGTGTCCGTGGCATCAGCTGCCCCCAAATCCGATGGGGAGATAAATGTAGACATGCCCCAAGATCCAAGCTGGAACATTGCAACTATGGCCAAGACTTTGAGTGACAAAGCTTTAAACCTCTGCTTCTCCAATAATTCTGTTTGGAGACACCGAAAGAAACTGAGGACTAGCCTGGAGCCCAAAGGCCTCCAAATTGACCTACAAATCAACCTTGCCCAAAAATGGGATCCTTCAACGAACTTCGGGAGAATCTGACCGATCCGTTGTGCGATTTGGAAAGACTCAGGAGCAGCAACAAATTGCCAGCTTGGCACCCCCACGTGGGCATCCGTCCAGCTGCCCACTGGCAAGTGCACACGCTCAGGGTCGAAGGTGCGAATGTCACCCAAAGCAATGCCTGAGCCGCGCTCTCACCGCAAAGTCGAAAATGAAAACAACGAAGCACCTGTCCAAGTGGATCTTAGGCACATCCCCTTTGAGTGCAAGAACCCTGGCAGCTTTAAAATAGAACTACCCCCGTTTTCCTGCGTCGGCCAAATCCTGTGTTCCTGCAGGTTCAAGGCAACCACAGTCACATTGGGATTGACATGTTCTTGTTGCTGACAAATTGGTATATCTTCAAAACCTTCCACACGCTGCTCCCAACTTTGTGTCTGCCAAAGTCAGTTGAGGAAGGCTCCTTCGACACTCAGCCAAACAACATGATATCAACCAAGAAAATGCCAAATGATACTGAACAACACAGAACGCTAGCATGAATTCGCACCCGTTTGCATCTGTGTTCCCTGCATGTGAAGCAGCAGGGGTGGCGTCAGACTTTGCTTGCCGCAGAGTAAGCGACTGGATGTAAGCGTTTGAACCCTTGGCCGACATCATACCACGGGGCCTTCTAGGACGGGCTGAGCGCCCGACAGCATACTACTCCTGACAGCTAAATGTTCAGTGCAAGGCCCCGTCAGTCTGCATCGCCGGTGGCGCTTGGTTTCCCTCCCAAAAAACTGTTCCCTTTGGAAAGCCAAGGCTCTGAAGATCATGTCTGTGCGCAATCGCACCACCCAGTCCACTGGCGCTCCACGTTGCAGCCTCGAAAAAAAGGCCCGCATGCCGGGAGAAAAGCAACAAGGCCCCTTGATGACGGAGGTTACTCTGAACCTTTCCTTCAAGAAAAGAGGAGCTGGCGTGGGCTACGCTCCATGGTCTGACATGTTCCACCAGCGGTTGAGCATCCGGGTCTTTGAACCCATGGGGCTACACGGGAGCGGCCCACTCTCTTCCCGCGCAGGGAAGACACGCGGCGGGCAACAAATTGAACGTGCGACTGGGCATTCAAGAGGGGATTCCTGGGAAGACCGTGCTCTTACTTCCGGCCTCAAGGAACTCCTCCCTGCCAATCCGGAAAAAATCCGAGCTGTTTCAACCCAAAAGTTAAAGTCCAAAGATCTGTTGCCAAAAAGTCATAACATATACAGCAGGGCTCCGGGCTCCGAATCCCATCCTGAAATGAGAAACGCCTTCCGAGGAGCTCAAAGCTCAGCAGCTGCTCTTGGCACAGCTCCAGGCGCCGCCACTGGGCATTGCATGCCATGGGGTACTTGGCGTGGCAGCGGCGGCCCGGCGGATGTCCTGACGGCAGGATTCGGTGGAGCCAAAGCTGGTTTCCACCTCCAAACCCTCTCACAAAGTCGGGGCTCCAAGGGCTGAAGTGGGTGGGTGGGTGGGTGGGTGGGTGGGTGGGTGGGTGGGTGGGTGGGTGGGTGGGTGGGTGGGTGGGTGGGTGGGTGGGTGGGTGGGTGGGTGGGTGGGTGGGTGGGTGGGGGGGGGGGTGGGGGGGTGGGTGGGGTCTTGCATGGCCCCCGGTGAAGGGCTCCCTCAAGGGATGCCACCTATACAGGCTTATGAATCAACTAACCCGCTGGGTGCCAGCCTTGGCCCTTTCCTGTTGATTCACGATTTCCTGGTTGAAAAGAGGAGTATGCTTTTTCATGCGGGAATCCTGCACTTTTAGGAGCAATTCCCATTAATTGTTCCAGGATGCACAACTTGTTTTGATTCGATCAACCTGCAGGGGTGTATTTTGTCTTTTCGGCATGACAGTAAGAGTTGCCTCCAAAAAATATACGTAGCCCTATTTGGGGTTTCTGAAGTAAGTTCCTTCCGTTTTGGAACTGGGTAAACCTCTCTGGGCGACATCAACCATCCCTGGGATTTTATTACTAGACTTGGTGAGCAATTAGTCCTTCCACCTGCACAGGCACGTTCACGACCACATCCTCGGTCGAGTCTGGCAGCCAACATCTCTGGCAGCCAAACTTTGAAGGAGCAAACATGCACTTGGCATTTTGCGCAAGCATGACTCCGGCAAGCCCGGTGCCACTGTAGCGCACTCACAGTGAATGATGTTGCATCCTCAGGTCCCTTTTACAGGATTCTCGACGCGTCCAATCTGCCACCCGTCTTTCTTGGGTGGTTCACTTGGGGTGCCAGAGTAGGTGCCTGATGCCACCAACCATTGTGTGAAATCCTTTTGGAGTCCTCCCTGGATTTGTGACCTGCCACCTGCCAGAGCGTGTGCATGATGTCATTCACCATGCAAAACACCTGACCTAAGCGCTGTAAAAAAACAACAACATCATCGGAAGCGAACGCAGAACCTTGTTTAGGACTTTCTCTTTCGCTGTTCAATAGGACATCAAGCTTGAAAAGGTAGAGGTCCCTAAGTCGGGAACCCTGCGGGACCCCTTCTTCCCAACCCAAAACCCACTTTTCGATCGCCCAAAAGTTGGGGGGCCCGAGACGGAGCCCTCTGAACCAAGCCTCGGGCGCCACAGCTTCCAGCGCCGGCGCCATCTCCGCCCAGCTGCGCCAGGGGTTCTGGCTCTGCTCCTGGCGGTCCAAAGGACCTTTTTCAGAGGAACAAGCGGAGCAGTCGGAGCCTGGCAGCCGAGAAACCAGCGGAAGTCTTGGGGATGCGCATGAGCACTCAACGTTCAAGGCATGTCTCTTCCGAATTCCCTGCTTTCTCTTGGCCATGTTCTGACATTTTCCGTTGACGGTTCTTTTTCCCAAGAATTCGTTTTGGCCATGTCCATTTTGCCGGACCCATGCCACTTCACCAGAGTAACGGTACATTCTCAGTAGCTGGCATGATTCCCTTGCATGTCGATAAGGGGATGGCACATGATGGCACCCAAGCCAAACATTTTCTGCCGCCCACCCAACTGCAAAGAAACGGGCCATGGGACCCTAAGGCAACCAACATGAACCAAACGAAGGTGGTCGCTGGTTCAGCTGCATCCCCCCCCCCGGTCCCGTGGCCCCAAGCGCCTCTTGCGGCGTGTGGCGCCCGAACTCGGTCACCAGCACCGTGCGCTGCTCTGAGAAGCCCAGCGCGTCGATGACCTCGGTGCGTTCCCATGCGGTCGAAATCCCATGGCCGTGGTCAAAAGAGAGGTCGAATGCACATGGCTGCGATTGAACTTCGACTCTGGAGGTTCCCTCTCAGACAGCTTTTCCCAGAGTCAAAAAACGTTGTTTTTTAATTGGTTGCCGGGGGCCTCAAAATCGAAACTCTTTCCCGGAGTTTCTGGATGTCTTGAGATGTCCTGATTCCCCTTCGCGCTCAGGCGCATTCTTCCGGAGACTTTGATGCACCACCTCCTCCCCGAAGCTCCGCAGGTGGCCCACGATGCACAGCAACCCGCTGGTCTTCGAAGTGCGGTCCACCGCCTTCGAAGGTCGCCCCCCACCCCCCCCCCCGGCTGCAGTGGGCCACCCCACCTCTTCGGGGAGGGGGGGAGGGGGGAGGGAACACTTTCCCCACCCCCTCAAAGAAACAATACAGAGACTGTTTTGCCAAAAGGGGCAATCCCACAAAAAGAAACAAAGGGCCCCGGTCAAGTCCCTTTTGCCGTGGCCCACGGCGAAAGGGAACAAGAGCACTTCTAAAGCAAGCCGCCGACAGGGCTCTGCTCTGCCTGGATGCCAATCTTTGATTTTGGAGCGCGCAAGGCAGCCATGAGCACACATGACCACGTGCAAACGCTCATGGCCAATGTAAAAACACGGTTGCGTTGCCCAACGATATCTACATCATCTTGCACCGTTCCTGGCCCAAGTTTGTCTTGACAGCCATGAGCATAGGAGACTTGGCCCGTTATCGGGGTGCCTGCTCCAGCTCCCGCATCGCCCGGTCGTAGATCTGCTCCTGTGCGGGCTCTGGCTGGTGTCGTTCTCATATCATGAGCTGCGCCTTAAAACAAAGATGTACGATTTGTTGCATTCTGTTTGGCCACCATTGCCTACCAACACACCATGCAAATGGGCATTGTAGAGCAAAGTGGAGCTCACTTAGCCAGCACATGGTGGCATAGGTGCTCTCAAACCTAGTGAGCCCTCCACTTGTACCAAGCAGATTCCCACAAGCCCACAAGGCGTGGAATTGCACGAGCGCAATTCGGCAAGACTACTGTGGCACAGAAAGCATGATGTCCATATCTGATGTTTGGCCAGTCCAAGTGACGGGGTGGTTTGAGATTCCGTCAAATGGCTGGACATGCTGATCTCGGTCCGGTCTTCTCAAACAATGGCTGCTCACGGTTGTCGTGTTTTGAACAGTGACCCCCTTTTTGGGCAGTCCAAATCAACCTGCGCAAAAACAAACAAACACGCCTGCACAAGCAAGCAAGCAAGCAAGGACGCAAGCAAGCAAGCAAGCAAGCAAGCAAGCAAGCTGGCAAGCTGGCAAGCAAGCAAGCAAGCAAGCAAGCAGGCAAGCAAGCAAGCAGGCAAGCAAGAAAGCAAGCAAGCAGGCAGGCAAGCAAGAAAGCAAGCAAGCAAGCAGGCAAGCAAGCAGGCAAGCAAGGAAGCAAGCAAGCAAGCAAGCAGGCAGGCAGGCAAGCAAGCAAGCAAGCAAGCAGGAAGGCAGGCAGGCAAGCAAGCAGGCAAGCAAGCAAGCAGGCAAGCAAGCAAGCAGGCAAGCAAGGAAGCAGGCAATCAAGCAAGCAAGCAAGCAAGAAGCAAGCAAGGAGGCAGGCAAGCAAGCAAGCAAACAAGGAAGCAAGCAAGCAGGCAAGCAAGCAAGCAAGCAAGCAGGCAAGCAGGCAGGCAAGCAAGCAAGGAAGCAAGGAAGCAAGCAAGCAAGCAAGCAAGCAAGGCAGGCAAGCAGGCAGGCAAGCAGGCAAGCAAGCGAGGAAGGAAGCAAGCAAGCAAGCAAGCAGGCAGGCAGGCAGGCAAGCAAGCAAGCAAGCAAGCAACAAAAACAACACGACAAGCAAAAGCAACTGCACGTTCGAAGAAAATCAATGGGCAAGTCGTGCCTTGTGCAGCGTGCCCTGCACCAGGGTGGGCCGGCCGGGTGGCCGCGTCGATCTCGCCAGAAGCTCCGCGCGGTGAAAGACCTGAGTCACTGAGGCGTTCAGCGGAATTGGGGGGGTGGGGATCCAGCACGTTTCTGGTCTTCCCCGAGGGAACATGAAACCATGAACGGAATTCGAGGGGTCATTCCATGGTAGTAGGCCCGTCTCGTTTTAAGGCTAGCCAGATTTTGCTCGGTGTTTTAAGGGGCCCCCTCAAAAGGACAGATCGAAAGAGATAATTTTCAGGTGGGCTTCCGTTTGAACTCCTGCAATGGCAGGCAAAGAAGGTGCCCTGAGAAAAGGCACCTGCAATATGCAGCGCATATTCTACATCCCCCCCCATCCAAACTTGCCAACTAGGGACTGCCTTGGCCAGGAAGCGGCCTGAAGGATTCGCATGCGGGCCCTCTGAAACGCTGGGAAAGCTCAAACACAAAGTCTCATCTACCGGGCAGTTGAGGCCCGCCCTGCCCACCTTGCATTCTTGAATCTGATCAGGTTTTCTCCAGATTCTGGAAATGTCCTACAGTTCAACTGTTCCCACAAAGTTTCCTTAAACAAAAAAAACAAGGGCCCGAGCTTCGTGGTGATTCACCTTGTCAGGGCCATCGTTGTGCTTGTAGACCCACAGCAAAGGTGCCAGCAGCCACTTCACCGCCCACTCCTTGCCACAAGTGCCAGTCCAGCCAGCCACTTCAAACATAAAACCGCCCATTGTCGGTCCCATGCGAAATGGGTCTGGAGTTTGCTGGGTAAGTCCAAGGACCTGCCCAGCTCTTAAATTCGAGAGGGTAAAGCGGTCTGATTGTGAGAACTAACTTTGTTATGACTGAACAGGTTTAAGCCACCTTGGCCCCCACAAGGTCCGATTTCTCTTGCTGATCGCTTCCTGCGTAAGTGAGAGGGTCTGGAAAATCATCAAGTACCCACCACTTGTCATTTCCTTTATGAGCCATGGGCTTGTCTCCAAACAGAGGACACCAACACTGGTAGTTGCCTTGTGTTCCCTTGGCACAACTCCAGAAAAGGCACCCTCAAAAAGCCAACGCTCAAATCGTTCATCAGTTCGGGCTACGTGGCTGCCGGCTTGGCACAAGATCGAACCTTCGGCTGAAACGAAGAACGCCCAAGCGCCTTGCACCGGCCCTTGGGGATGCATAGCCCAAACCTGGCCTCAGACGAAACAAAACGCTGCAGGCTGAAGCCGACCACGCGGGAAAACCTGGTGGAAACCAGCAAAAGGGGGGATCTATAGATTGAACACTAGTGGAAAAAGCAGGGTTTAGGCAAGTTTTCTGCCAATGCCCCTTTCAGATTTGCGAATGCTTGCTATTTGTTTTGATGTTTATTGGCTATTTCCTCTCCCTTGACTCAACCCCGCAGGGAACCAGGCAGTGTAGCCATGGACCATGGACCCCAACAGCCCCATGCGCGCTTCACGAGGACTGAACTTGTCGGGGGGGGGGGCACTTTCCTCCTTGCTTTTAGCGAAGCCACAAGATTTCGCCGATCCTTCGGACTTTACGATTGCGGGGTTCCTAAATTTGAGAACCCAACATAGGCATTCAATGCGCTCGGGCACCAGCTTTCATCTCAAAACCACACGGAGCCCAGCCCAGGTCAAAACACATGTCTGTGTGCATGCTTGTCGCTTATTGCCAGTATGGGACCCCTTTTTGTGGTGTTACTGCTTTTGGGGTCCCGTTCTATAATCATTGAAGTGTCCGGAAAGCAAGCGACATGCCAAGCCTTGGTTGCTCATGGTTGCTCTTGACCCCTCTGCAAAACCTTTCACTTCTTGTGGCTTTCATGGAAAACCGCTTGATTTCCCGAAGCCTAAAGATCCAACCCGATAAGAATAGCAATCAAGAAGCATGAGGCCTGTCCCATTTGGTTGGCACATCTCACCTTCAAGGCGCCGGGATCTGCATGTCCCCCGGCATCTTCCAATAGTGCCAGAAGTCTGCTGGGTCCCAACGGACCTCCACATAGCGACCTTCGTAGAAGCCGGTAATGCACCTCCGGCTGAAGGCATTCCCCCAATACACATGGAAATCCGGCCCCTGAAGTGGTGGGAGTTTTGGGTTTCCTGTTGATTCCCGTGAAGTACGAATTATATAACATAAAAGAGACCGAAATTCATGAGAGACGGGCTGAACTCCCGATGTTCCGAATCTGTAACCCTTGGAGGGCCACAAGGCAAATCACCATTTGGTGTAAGGGTTGCAGTATTGATCTTGAACTGAACAAACCTGGCATATGGTGAAGCTGTTCCTGCTCGGCTGCACAAGTGCCAAGCAATGCACAAACGGAATGAACACTGACCAAACAAAGGCAGGACTGTGATGCTGCAGGGTGCCTGCTTGCACAAGGCAAAGCCAGGTATGTGGGCCAGCACACGTCATTGTCAGAGGTGCAACGCTGGCATCATGAGACGATCTGATGAATGGAAGGACGCATTCGTGGAAAGCGACTGGTGAAAAGGGACCAGTCCCGATTTCTCACCAGCCAACTCACCATGAAAATGATGCAGAGGGATTGTTCAACTCTTGAGGCCCAAACCCTCCCACTGATTGAGATGGAACCTGGCAGGAGGGTCCTGGTTTGGACCATGTTACCTTTAAACGAAGCCCCGAACGTCAGGCTCTATGTTCATTGGTGGGAGGGTAATCCGACTCACTCAAGGTGAGCCCAAGCGCAGGCCTTGCGGGATTACAGCTACCCCTCCCCATCTCTGAGCGCCTGGTCATCTGCTCCAGGACCCTGGCCCAGCTGGCGCCTGAAAAGCTGACACGAACGCCAAGGCAAGCCAGGGTGCCAGTTCCCGCCTTAGCCGCTGGGCGAAAAATGCACCCCTCTCAACCAGAGACCGCTGGCGGAAAGCCCTTTGAAGAATTAAGCCGGTAGCCCAACCAAACAAAGACACAAAAGGCGTGAAACGCATGTAGATTAGCAAATCGCTGTGACACGCACACACTGACACACACACACACACAAACAAAAGCCACGAAATACCCTGAGTCCAGTCTCAAACGCGCCTCGAAATGCTGGGAAACTGCCGGCTGCCAATATTGTAACATACGTCAAGCCTTGCTTGGGTGCCGAGTACCCGGAAGGCAAAGCAAAGCCTTTTGTTTGGCGGAAGTGTGTCCAAAGGGTGGCAAACTGGAGAAAACCGCTTGGACACCTGGCTTAAGATCCAGGCCAGACACTAATGATTGTAAAATTGCATGATCATAGGAGCTGTTTGGAGAACAATGTTAGTAATTAGTTGGGTGTTAAAAAACAAACAAAAAAACTGTCTTCGTGCTGGTAAACAGCTAAGAAAGGGTTGCCCCCCACATCGACGTACCCACTCAACCCCTCAGCTTGACAGCCTGGCTCTGGCGGGATGGGCTCGCCACTGGCGCTGCAGGCGCTGTCCTGCAAACAGGCGAGGGCCTGGTGAAACAGAGTCTTAACGTTGTCCCCTGAAACCCCGAGCTCAAGACGGGCAGCAAAGTAATTCAATTTGGTTGGCTTCTTTGGCTCCACATCGGCCTTGACACCTCAGGCCACCGGCTCAAGAAAGCTCGGAAGAATCCCCCTGGCAGGTTAAGAGCAAATCACATGGAGCTTTCAACAGCCTCTGTCTTCACTTCCGAAAGCCAAGCGCCACGTCAATTACCCCCCCCTGTCAGGGTTTGCCTGGCTGGGTGGAGTGAGGTGTACTTTGTTCCCTGGGCTCTCTCAAAGGCCGACAGCTGGATAATCCACTCAACCACTCAGCAGTGCCGCCTTGAGTACCCACCCCACATAATTCCTACATGCGCTTGTGTAGTGTAGTGGTTGGATGTGTTTCTGTCTGCTTGGCCAGTTGGCTGGATGTTTGCTTTGCCGTCGGTGTGGTTGGCAGGCTTGGATTCTTCGATTTTTTGCTTCCGGACCATGCCCCTGCGTGGGAATCAAATCGGCTTTCTGACCATTTCTCGGGAACATAATCGATCATTGCGCCAAGCCTTTCTGTTGATACAAACCCCCATTTGGCTCTCATATTAAGTAGTTTAAGCTCAAACAAACGAATAACACATTTTCTTGTTGCAACCGCTTGCTTCACCCGTGTCCTTTGTTCTTGTTCCGCGTGTTTTTGTTACAACTGGCTTTTTTCACCCCCACAGCCAGCCCAGCCGGCGGCCCCTCCTCTTCGCTGCTGAGGCCTTCCACTGGCGCTTGCTTCCAGCGGCAGTGCCTGAGCGCGGAGGACTCGGACGTGCCGGGGCTGGAAACCGATCGAGGATACGTTCAAAGCCCTGGTGTAGATGGGTCAATCAGAAGGGCTTCACAAAAGGAGTTGCTGTACCTGCCATTTCCATTCTTTCCAGGGACCCGGATCTTTCTAGAAAACCTCCTTTGAAAATTTGAAACCCAGGGAAAACGGATCCGGTTGTTGGAAAGAACAATGGTGAAAAGAACGGGGAATCAACCCTACAAGATCAACGCATGGGGAGGATGGGGGGGGTTCTCAAAACGGATGGTCCCTAAAATGGCAAGGGTCTCCTGTCAAGCCCCCCTTTCACTACCAAAAGGGGGAGTTTCCGAATTTCGTTTTGAGAGACACAAATTGTCTCATTTTCCCCCCCCCCGGACCCGAACCTGTGAGCGTGGAAGGAGAAAGGAGATGTCAAGGATTTTACAGATAACCGTCTATAACCAAGAATTCTGTGAGATAGACGGTACCACATAGAAAATCCTGACTCACTGTCACCTCACTCACTTTTCCTTCCGTGACGAGCGAAGTGAGTGGGTGTCCCTTCCTACGTCAGGCCTCACAGAGAAGAGTTAGACCAAAGGGATCTGATCACCATCTCTTGCCTATCACCTGTCTCTCGCTTCTTTCATTGACAGCCAAGATCCAGAATCCAGAGGCAATCACCTACAAACAAATTCTCTTTCTCTCACCCGCTGGCCAGTTCTTTCCAGCGGAGCAATCAACAACAAAGAAATTGAACATAAAAAGGATAATGATGGATGGGATCTCTTTCACCCATCCTCCGCTCTGCACCTCTTCCCTCCAAGCCTCTTTGTTGTAAGGCTTGGGTAAATAAAATCTGCAGATGGTCCCACTGGTTTGCCTTGTCAAAGTGACCTTCCCACCGCCGTCCGTCTGCTGCACTCCCTGGCCTGACCCACCAGCTGAAACAGCTTGCATCGGCATCAGCCTGGGCAAGCCAGGCCGGGAATAGACCGCCACTTGCTTAAGTGCCCTGCATGTTTTCCAGTCTCAGTGCGAGATTCCCTACACCGGCATGGGACATGAAATAATATAACCTCGAGCAATTGGAAGTGGATGGCTGGATGGCCAGGCCCCGTGAGGCCCACACGATCTGCGCGTAAGAGCCGGCGGCAATTGCCGAGGCCACCAAGGCACACAGTCGCACCATTGCATGGTGGGACGTGGCGCTCCGGGGCTCCTTCCATGTCCAAAAGACATGACTCAATGTCCAAAGGGCTTCCCAGCACATGGACACCGTGCGGTTGTATTTGTCGTGCTGCGTTGGTCGTGCGCTGGCCGAAGGAGGTCAAATAGAAGCAACTCTGCCTGGCTGGCTGAACAAGCAGAGCATGTAGCCAAACAATTGCTTCAATCCAAGCCTGCCAACCACACCGACGGCAAAGCAAACATCCAGCCAACTGGCCAAGCAGACAGAAACACATTCTACACAAGCGCCTGTAGGAATTATGTGGGGTGGGTACTCAAGGCGGCACTGCTGAGTGGTTGAGTGGATTATCCAGCTGTCGGCCTTTGAGAGAGCCCAGGGAACAAAGTACACCTCACTCCACCCAGCCAACCAGTCAGCCAAACAAAACAGCGCCAAGTCCATGGCCAAAAAAAACTGAGTTGCTGAATTGAACATCCACAAACACACACGTTCGGATCACGCACTCACCCTAAAAGAAGGGGGTGGGGGTGTCCCTAACCCGAATTATCTAGACCATGTGTGAAATTCGAGGGATCCCCCCTACCCCGAGTCCTTTTTCTAGGGGGTGAGGATCTTCAATCCCCTTTGCTTCGCAATGACACCAATCGCCCTTTTCCCCTCAGCAGCAGCCGCTGTTCCGCTGCCGACGGGCATGGCCGCCTGGGGTGCATGGCAGCGCCCTTGTACTGGCGCAACAGATAGGCTAGCCACCTGCTGAAAAAAACATGAATCGGCATGCTTCCTTATTTAGAGGGGATGCGGTCTGGTTGTTTCAACACATTTTTCCTACGTAAATAAATAACCACATTCCTATAACAAGGAGGCTTGCAATCGTATCGAAGAGCCACACCACAGCTGATATCTACAGGCACTGCAACCCTCCCTTCTCACCCTCAGCATGTTCAACCTATCAATCGGATTTATCTCAAAGGAGGGAACCCCGAAAACGTATTGTTGTTCAGGGGCTTCGCTTTAAACTAACCCCAGCACGGTTAGTTTAAAGAAAGCACCAGGCTCGCAAAGCACGCAAACTTGCTCACCCCAATGCGATGCCGAGCCACTGCGGGGCAGGGGCTTGTCTTCTGTAGCTGTACTGCTCCTCGTGGTGGACGACTCCTGAGTGTAGCTGTGCCAAAATTAGAGGCCCCTCCAAATGATGAGTTTCATCTTGAGATCCTTTCTTGCATGAACCAGACAAATTGATGCAGCTATAGTGGACGCACTCTCAATGCCCCCTCGCTTCTGCCAACCTGCAATCTCCGGAGCCACCCCTGCTACGCTGAAAGCAACTGCCTCTTGCAACCCAAAGATCTGCTTTTGTATGGGCTTTGCGGCTGAGCGGTCTCTGATTGCAGCAGCAAAAGCTGGAACAAGGCTGCGGGGAGCGGTCTCAGCAGCTCCAGCTCGAAAATCACAACTTTGTAGTGCGCGAGCACTTCCGCAGCTTTCCAGTACAAGTGCAGTACGTGAAGTATCTCCACATTAGAGCTTTGTTGAAGCATCAAACTAAAGTGTCTTCGGAAGTTACGCGGTGCTAGTTGACCCGCAACACTTACCCGAGCCACACGTTTCCTTACGGCAAAAGCATGCTAGACTAACCGAGCATGAAACCTTCACTTGAGAGTTCTGGGCGCTGCTGACATGTTTCGTTTGCGGGGCCATGAATTTGATGGGAAATTCAGGGCCCCCCACCCAGCAAGGGGGTTCGTAGAGGATGTTCCTGGGAGGGTTTTGATAACCCTTGTGGTGGGCAGTGGGTCCCTAATGTTTCTTCAAACATACTAACCCGGATTGATACACCGCTGGTTGATTAAAAGAGGGTGTTGGCTTTAGTGCCTTTAGTGGAAATTCGGAACACCTTTGCAGGTGACACCCCCGAAGAAAAGTGGGTCTGGTGCTTCTTGAGGATTGGTTCCCTTTTTTGGATTGGGATAAAAGGAACACCA